ACATCAAATCACTGCCACCCGTCCCCTCACCCCCCACTGGAGAAAACCCTGAGTCTAAGAGCCCCCACGCCGGTCATCCAGGGTATTAGCCTTTGTAGAAATGCAGTATGGTCATTGTCTGTTAGGGATATGACCCATATAGTGAGATACACATGCATACACATATATATGTATGTATATGTATACATATGTGTATATTTATTCTTTGATGGCTGTTCCTTATTTTATACTTCTTAGGATGCATAGAAAATGCAATATAAAACAACTTTAAGTCTGGGAAAAATTATTAGAATTCTTGTTCACCAATGAAACAGTTGTAAAGCTTCAATTTAAACCATGTGGAGGACTCTTTATGTCAACATATATTTGTCAGAATGATCTTTTTGAACCTTATTTATAAGCAGCAGGTAGTTTTTTGTTTTGTTTTCTGATTGTGTTTTTTGCTTTTGCTTTGTTTAGAATTTCAGAAGATCATTGAAAGCTTTATTTCTCTCATAATACAGTCTAGGCTTCCCATTGTTTGGTTTCAGTTTACAATGCAAATTCCATTGAAGCTTCTAAAGTGATGCAACATCAATTTTATTATCTTCTGAGTTTGCTTGTTCACATTTACATCTAAAATTTCTTTTCTCAAGTTTCTGTATTTGCTGGTAGAGGAAGTTCAAAACATGTTTTACTGTATCCCTCCAAGACTCTTATGAAGATCTTTGTCAGGGTGTGCTGATTTGGAAAACTTGTGTTGTTGTTTTATTTGAGTTGCCCTAGTTGGCTGTTCGCCTTACCCTTTTACAGATTACAAGTTATTTATAGTCTGCATTCCAAAAACAGTCATTTGAAGGGTCAGGTAGAACTGGTATTCCCACTTTAACTGTGGAAGGAGTGGATAGGAGGCCTTCTCTTAAGTTTATCTACTAAAGAAAACAGACTTATTTTGTGTGTGCATGTTTGCATGTGTATGTATTAGTATATTATACTTCTTAGATACTTATTTTCTGATTAGTTTATATATTTTCCCTATTAATACTAACAAACTGAACATGTATCCTAAATTCTTCTGCTACATACAAGAAAGAAAGTGGGGCGTGCTTGTGGCAACAACTGAAAGCGACGATTCTTCCCAAGGTGGCAGGAATGAGATACCCTTGGGTGTTAGCTTTGTGTTTGGTTCATTTGCTTAGCTCTCATACTCTGTGTGTGTGTGTGTGTGTGTGTGTGTGTGTGTGTGTGTGTGTGTGTGTGTGTGGTGTCACTCCAGAGGAACATACTTTCCCTTGGTGGAGACTTGGCAAAGGTCTGGAAGGTGATGACCTCTCCTATGGTTTAGGGATTACAGCTAATTAGGGAAGTTGTTTTATACTGTTTGTCTTGCCCACTTGTAAATCAGTGACCCTTTCCCATATGTGATATATTCTTATCTTTTGTAGAATGCCAAGATGTAATGGGAACAATTTTTCTTGGCCAATACTTTTTTTTTCCTCAGGAGTTTTGCTTCCATTACACGAAGGCACTGTAATGCCACTAGTGCATGCCAGTAGTATTAATGTTCCTTTGTAATTCTGTTCCTTTGAATTGTTACTTGTCAGTAGGACCAATATATATGTAAAGTTATTAGAATCCAGCAAATATCATTTAAGTGCTTACTATGTAAAAACATGATAGGTGCTAGAAATAAAAGTATAGATGTGACATGAGGCTTGGGCTCAAGTATTTTATAGTTTAATGTGAGAGAATAACACATACACAAATAACTATTATTCAAGGAAATCATTGAGTTAGGGAAGGCATGGAAGAGGTGGTACCTAAGTTAGATCTTAAAGGAAAGGAGGAACTTCAATAGGTCAAGATGGTAGGAGATGAAAAATTCCATTCCAGCCAGAAATTAACAAATGAACAAAAGCACAGAAAGTAACTTTATTCACTACACATATGTATGAAATAGAATTTTCATAAATGGTCTGTCCATCTCTTTTTTTCTAACACAATAATGGAAAAGGAGCTACAGTAACAGAGAGAAGAGCGGCAGTTCTGGCAGATGCCCCTCCTTCTTTGGCCCCTCTCATCTGAGGACCCAGGGCTGGAGGTCTTATGATCATATGTTTAGAGTATAGGCCCCCAGGCCAGCCCTCTTATTTTGTAGGTGAGTAAACTAATGCCCAGAAAGGTTGGATGAGTTGCCTACTTGGCACATGGATAGTAAGTGCAGACCTGGGATTCAAACTCAAGCCCCTGATTCCAAATATGGCTCCCCAGTGTGACATGCTATATTTTCTTCACTTCCATGGACAAATGGCACTATTACCTGGGAGAACAGAACTTCATTGGCATGCATTTTCTTCTTTGTTTTCAACATTTTTTTTCACCAGTGGGTGTGTGTGTTAGTTTGTGATTCAGGTTGTAATACATAATATGTGATGTTGTGCTAAGTACATGTAGGACACTCTTTTATTATTTTTTATTAGTGGTAATGTTGCGGTAAGAATGTTTAAACTCCATCTCTGCCAAAGTTGTCATTTGTAGCCTAAGATTTTTTTAAGGTATTTATGTATCAAATAGCAGAGCCACTGTAAGCAGTAGTTGGCATTGTTACTTTCTTCAGGCAACAATGCAGAGAGGAGATACTGCCCCCAGAGAGGGAGACGGATACCAACAATACTCAGCGTCCCCTCTCCTGGCTCTGGCTTCACTAATCCTGGCATCTGTAATATGCAAATGTCTTTCAGTAAATAAAACTTTTCATATATATTTAATCCGTATCAGTAATGACACTTTCTCTGAATTAAAATAAGCATGATTAGTTGACCCACTATAATAAAATAATCATGTTTAGCATTCTTGGTGTTAATAGTTCTAGGGAAATTTGAGGGAGTAAAGTTATAGCAAATAATGCTGTACTATACATAGCTTTGGTATAACACTCAAGATTCAGAGGGATGAATGTGCAGGTATTGTTCATGTGAATAAAGACTTATTAGGCATCACTGTAGGTATATTTTGCTATAGAAAAAAGCTTCCATAAAGATTTGCTACTACATTATCTTCAGGAATTTTTTTAGACTATAGCCAAAATACTAATAAAGGACAGAAAACCTTTCACTTGGCAGCTCCTCTGACATAAGACTTAATTTGCTGAGGGTTAGCTTCCATTTGTAATTATCCCTGGATAGAATGCTGCTTTTTCGTTCATGATGAAAATTAAAAGTAAAAAATTGTCATTATTCAAGTTGTTTAAAATATTCTTGTTACCTTGTCAATCCTGTGCAAGTTATTAGAAATCTATATTTTATAAAAAGCAGAACCTTCATCTGATTTAGTTAATATTCTTATTACTGCCATTTAGAAATTCACTGTGGTCTTCCCTAAGGTGAAAACTTTTGAGACATCGAGTCCCTAGTTGGTTCTCATGGCAACATCTTCAACAACTCTTCAAGTACTGTTAATTCTGTTTTGTTGATAATTTAGGAAAGTATTCTACCATGCTATGGAAAGTACTTTTCATAAGTGCATCAACTCAAAACAGATTCAGATTTAATTGTTGGGTCATAAAAAACAGTGATCACTTATTTGGTGAATTCTCTTGAGAAAATGAGTCTATTTTCACCCAAATATAAATTAAGCAAATTTTATAGAACTGTCTAAATAACTCCAGAGAATTCCAAAAGTAAGATTCTTACTGCTGTGGACATTTGAATTTATTTATTTTTAAAATCAATTTGTAGTTGTAAAGCTAGGTACATGTGATTTATTTATTTATACTATTGGGGGTGTATTTATAAAAGTGTGTATATATTCATAAATATATATTTATTTATTTATAAGTAAATAACATGCTGCTGAAGGGAGTTAAAGGAAACAAGGACTGAAAAAGAACACAAAAGAAATATGATTTCCTTAGAAAAGTTTGTAAGAATTTTACTTAATTGCAACCAGAAGCTTGACCTGGAAGTGTAATGTTTTGACCCCTTAGCTGTCTGGTTCCCTAGATGTGGTGTTTTGTACTCCCCCCGACTGTGAGAAAATCTATTCTATGCAGTTTTAACTTGGTGTGTTCTTAGAAACACTGAAGTAGAAATTGTTCCCCTGAGAGAAAAGAAACCCTCATTATTTACAAGAAAGACTTGTAAAAACCATTCTTAAATGGACGGCATTTTTTTTGAAACACTTAGCAAATCTTACTTTAGAAGAAAAGGAATGCCACTTCTGGATTTTTTTAAGTATGGTGTTTTCAAAATATAATTTTAGGGCAGCCTTGTCTCTGTTAGGTTTTTCTTTATGTTTCCATGTTGTATTACCTTCCCAGTACACATGTGAAACAGCACATCCATTGGCTGGGAAATTTTTGCACCTTTTGACTTTTCAGTTTTGATATTGTTGAAGTTTATTTTTTTCTATTTAGCCTTTTTTAGTAGGAAAACTACTGAGGTGAACTCAAGATAGTTTTATATACGTATGTATATGATCTATGTTTCTTAATTAGTATAGCACTGGATTTTTGTAGCCAAAACAATAAAGACATTTTGGCCAGGTGTTTGAAAATTATGAAAACATATATGTTAAATTATTTCACAAACATTTATTATGCTTATTAAACTATGTATTTTCATTATCCCTGTGGCTTTATATAACATTACTTTTTAGGATTTTTTTTTCATCATTTGGATTTCCTTTTTTTGTTATTTTTCCAGTTATAAAGTATTCTGAATGGTAGATTTAAAATTGCAAAACAGAGAAAAAACTGATAGTCCCTAGATATTTGGTTGGAAAAACACTTCTCATCCTTTTTTAAAAAAGCACTGAGTTTTTCTGTACAAAAGTGTCATAGATGCAATTTATGTATCAAGGTTAGAAATCTGTTTTAACTCACTGGTTTGAAGCTAATTTTAAATCTTGTTTTAGGAACGCATGATTTTTATCTGAATTAATAGAGTAATATATGCTTTGAGCCTTCTGAATGAAATTCAGTAATTTTCTCAATTATATCAGTTCTGTGTCATGGTCGTAACTCCTGTTTTGCCTACCAAAATGGTAGGAATGATGAGCAAATCAGTCAGCAAGCATTTATTAAACACCTATTAATTGCCATGTACTGTGTTAGGTGCTAGGGTTACAAATTCAAAGACTAAAACAATCCCTACTATCTTTCTTTAATCTCTTTGGAGTGGGGTCATATGGCATTCACATTTTTATTAGCTTTTGAGGAACAGTTACAAATTGTTTTCCAGGGACAGCTCTACCAACACTGCATCAGTATGCCTGTTTTCCCACAGCCCGTCTAACATTTGCCATTTTCTTTTTTTGGCAGCTTTGTCAATTTTAATGAGTGTGAAGGGGAACCTCAGAACTGCTTTATTTTACATTTTCCTAAGTATTAATGGTTTGGAACACTTTTTCACATAGCTGTGTGCAACTTGGGTTATGTCTTCCCTTGAGAACTACCTGTTCATATCCTTAGACCATTTATCTATCAGGTAATGACTTTTATTCTTATAAATTTGAATCATTTCCTTATACATCTTGTAAATGAGACTTTTATCAGAGAAACCTGATTTAAAGATTCTCCCCCCCTCCCCCATTTAACTGTCTTCCTTCTAATGTTAGCTATTTTGGATTTGTTTGTAGAAAAAACTTCTTTAATTTTATCTAATAAAAATTGCATATTGTGATTCTCTATTACTCTTATTTGGTCGTGAAGTGTTCCACTATTCATTGATCTGAAAGGTAATTTTTTTCATGTTCCTCTAAATTTGTTTATAGTATAACCTTTCATATCTAGGTAATATATCCATTTTGAGCATATCTTGGCATAAGATATGAGAATTTAATCTAAATCTAATTTTGGCTGTAGTGTTGTCCAGTTTTCCCTGCAGTTTTGATCAAATAGTGAGAGAGTCCTTACCCCCATAGCTGTGGTAACTGGGTTTATGGAACACCAGACCATTAGTTTTGTTTGCTTCTGCCTCTTGTATTCCTAATCTGTTCTACTAAAGAATCTATTTTTTGCCCAGTACCACATTATTTTGTGAATTTCTACTTTGTGGTACAGTTTCAGATCTGATACTGTACACTTGTTTTCATTATTTTCCTTGAGATTAGTGGCTTTTTGTTCCTCTAGATAAATTTCATTATTATTTTTTCTACTTCCATAAATTAATCTTTGTAAGTTTTTATTGATGTCTTTTCTGTCACCATAATTTTCCCCAGTATCCTTCCTCTTCCACTTACCAGAGAGCCATCCCATTTAAGAAATAGAATCTTTTTAAAGACAAAAAAAAAGAAAGAGGAAATAAATTAGAATAACTGATTAGTACATCGAAAAAGTCTGAAAATATGTGTAGTCCACAACACCTGGGAACCTCCCACCTCTTTAAATGTGTGGAGTGGGAATAGCTTCTGATAGTTTTTTTTTCAATCCATGCTTATTCTTTATAATTTTGCAATATTCAGGGGGTTTTTTGATTGCTCTTTCTATTTACATTGTTTTAGTCATTGTATATATTATTTTCTTAGGTCTTCATGAATTCATAGAAACCTTTCCGTGTTTCTTTGTATTCAACGAATTAGTCATTTCTTATTGTAGAGTAATATTCTGTTACATTCATGTGCCACAATTTGTTTAGCCATTCCTAAATCACTGGGCATCTACTTTGCTTGTAATTCTTTGCTATCACAAAAAGTGTTGCTATAAATGCTTTTGGTATACATGGAAACTTTTTTCTTATCAATGACCTCCTTTTGGCATAAGCCTAATAAGGGAATCTCAGGGTCAAAGGGTATGGAAATTTTAGTCACTTAGTTTGCATAATTCAAATTGTTTTCCAAAATAGTTGTACTGATTGACTGCTCTACCAACCTTGTACTACCTGTATTCCCACAGCTTCTCCATTATTGAATACTCTCATCTTTAGTCATCTTTGCCAATTTGGAAGGTATGAGGAGAACTTCAGGTTTATTTTCATTTGTGTGTCTTGTTTTTAGAATTATTGTTGTCATATTGTAATTTGGAACTTTCTCTCATATGGCAGTCAATAGTGTGTAATTCATCCTTTGACTGCTTATGTATTACAGAATGGCTTTTGGTGTTTATATACTTACATATGTACATATACATAAGCATATAAATATATAATACATGATAATTGTTTGCATAGATGTTAATCGTTTACATATCTTGGATGCCAAACCTATATCAGAGAAATCTGATAAAAAAATTTTAACCATTTAACCACTTACTTTTGTATTCTACATTAATTATTTCTTTACAGACACCTTTGAATTTTCATGTAATTAAAGTTAGGTATTTTATCTTCTGTAATTGCCTCTATCTCTTGTTTGGTTATGAATACAAATCCTGTCCTATCACTTCTATCTTTTCATTATGAATACATCTCCTATTCTACTTCCCTTGTAATTTTTATGGTATGATTTTTAATATGAAAGTCATATAACCATTTAGAGTATGTTGTAGAATAACTGTAAGGTGTTGATCTAAGCCTAATTTCTGCAAGACTGCTTTCCAGTTTTTCTGACAGTGTTTATTAAATAGAGAATACTTTGCTAAGTAATTTGTGTTTTGCAGTTGATTGAATTGTAATGTTAAATAAACCAGGTTCTTGAATTCCATGGTTTCTGATTCTCCTTTGTTGAGTCTGTTCCATTAATCTACCTCTCTTTTTAACCAATACGAGATGGTTTTGATGACTGCTGCTTTAATATGATTTGAGATCTAAAAGTGTTTGTCCCTCCTTGTCCCTATGTATTTTCATCATTTCTTTCAATATTCTAGATCAGCAATTCTCAAAGTATGGTCCAGGAATCACTGGAGGTTTCTGATGCCCTTTCAGGGGATCAGTGAGATCAAACTTATTTTCATAATAACACTAAGACTTTAAAATTTCTAATAGTAAATATTTATAGGTATAACTCCCATAAACCAAAGCTCTTGAGGGGACAGGAAGCAACTAAGTAGTTGTTAAGAGTTTAAAGGGATCCCAAAACCAAAAAGTTTGAGAAGCACTATTTCATTTTTCTGAATGAATTTTGTTATTATTTTATCAAGTTCTGTGAAGTTTCTCTTTGATAATTTGATTGGTGTAGCCAAAAAATTATATTGGCTTTGATGGTATTGTCATAAATACTGGATATTCCTTCTAATATTTAAGTCATTCTTTATTTCTTTAAGGAGAATTTTATAGTCAAATTTATATTAATATTTTTTGTGCTTTGTTAATTTTATCTCTAGATATTTTATGTATTTTGTCATTATTTGGAATGGAATTTATATTATTGCCTCTTTAATTTTGTTATCATATAGAAGTGATACTGATTTTTGAGTTTTTATTTTGTAGCCTGAAACTTTGCTGATACTCTTGTCTCAGTTAATAGATTTCCTGATTCCATAGGACTTTCTAAATAAACCATCATGCCATCAGCATCTATTCTTTACCTATCTAAATGCCTTTAATTTTTTTCTTTTGTCTTATTGCTATGTCAAATAATAGTGGGGATAAGTGGCAATCTTGGTTTATACTTGTATTTATTGAGAAAAGTTCTAGTATATCCCCATTGGATATGATTTTCATTTTGGTTTTAGATAAATACTGTTTGATGATATTAAAAAAGGTCACTCTGTGCTTATATTTTGTAGGGATTTTTAAAAAGCATGAATAAGTATTATATTTTGTCAAAGGATTTTTTGTATATATTGCAATCATTATGTGGTTTGGGATGTTTTTATTTTTAACATGATTAATTGTGATGATTGTTTTCCTAATGTGGCACCATCCTTGCATTCTTGGTGTAAATTCAACTTGGTCATGATTAATGATTTATTGGATTTATTTAATATGTTTGAATCATTATTCATTAACGATATTGGTCTATAAGTTCTTGTTCTGTGACTTATCCTTCCCTGGTTTAGGTATAAGGATTAGAATTTTTTTATTAAAGGATTCTGGTAAGGTGCTTAATTTCATTGTTTTTGAGAACAATTTTCCTATTGTCGGTGCTAATTGTTCTTTAAATTTTATAGAATGTATCTGTGAATTCATTAGAATTAGGTGTTTTTTCCATTGGTAATTAAAAAACTACCTTTAATTCTGTTTCCTTTTATGATATGGGGCCATTTAAGATCTCTGTTTGATGTTCTGTTAGTGTGGAGATTTTACATTTTTCAAGGTACTCATCCATGTCTAATAATTCTTTTAATTTCTTCTGATTTTGTGTTTGTACATTTCATGTGTTATTTTATCAATTTGATTTTTTGCCCTCTTCTTTTTAATCAGGTTGACTAAAGGTTATCAATTTATTAGTCTTCAAAGAGCCAACTTTTAGGTTATTTTCTTTTATTATTAGCTCTCTGGGCTTTTTGTTTGCAATTTATTTTTCCTCAATTTTTAATATCCCATTTTGTCTTATTTTAATTTTCTGTATTTGTTGACTTTATCATTTTTAAAAATGCAATCAGTTCTTTAATCCTCTCCTTTTCTATTATGTTAATGAATGTTTATAGAGATATATTTTTTTTCTCTTAAGTTCTCCTTTCCAGAAATTTTGGTATGTTGTTTCATTATCATCATTTTCTTTCATATAATTATCAGTAATTTCTATGATTTGTTCTTTGATCCAGTGGTTATGTAGGATTTCATTGTTAAGTCTCTATTTGAGTCTGTAATTTTTGTTCATGCTCCATGAGTTGGTTACTATTTTTAATTATGTTATTGTTTATAAAGGATATTTACTATTTCTAACTCTTTACATTTGTTTACAGTATTTCTGTGCCTTAACACATGGTCATTTTTTGTAAAAGTTTCATGTGATGCTGAGAAATACATTTATTTTTAAGTATAGCCATTTAAAAGACACCATAAGTCTTTTAGCTCTGGTTTTTCCAGCACTTTGTTCAATTCTATATTTTCCCTTCTGTTTGTCTTTCTGTTAAACTTATCTAAAACTGAGAGATTGACATTGTAATCTCCTGTCACTGCTGTAGTCTGTGTTTTCTTGTAATTTAATTTTTCTTTTATGAATTTACATGCTAAGATAATAATCATATTGTTTGCTTGTCTGTGATTCCTTTGAGCCTAATATAGTTACTCTATCCCTTTTTGGATGTTGTAAACATTTGTTTTGAGCTTGTCTGATAGCATGATTTGCACCTTCTGCTTCTTTAGATTCACCTCATGCATAGTAAATTTTTCCCAGACTCTTATTTTTATTCTGTGTATATCTTTGTTTTTAGATTTGTTTTCCCATAACAGATTGTTGAGCTTTGTTTTCTTATCCAGTATGTCTTTTTCATGTTATTGGATTGTATAATTCATTCATATTTAAAGTTATGAGAACTAAATTCATATTTTACTCCATTTGTCTCTAATATTTTTTTTTCAAAGTTGAGATTTTCCTTCTTCCTTAAAAAATACTGTACTTTGTCTCTTCAGTTATTTTTAATTTAATCTACTTTAAGGTAGATTTTCTTCCCTGAACCACAAGGCCTCTCCCACCTCCCACTTATTGCCCTTCCTTTAGAGTTAGAGTTTTACTTATTAGTTCCTTTTCTTTTCTTTTTATCCAGTTATGTAATTCTTCTCATCATTTTTCCCCTCTCCATTAAATAATCAAATATAATCCCCTTGCTATTCCTTTATTTTAATTAGTCATTAGTTTAAATTTTTTTATTTTCTGTACCTTTTTTTTCCTAAAATAGACTTTCCCTGATTATTCTCTTCATTGCCTTCTTTCTGTCTATTCTAGACTTTTATTCTTTGAATCATGGATTTTATACTAATGCAATCCTTTTTTAGTCTCTAGAAAATTAGAACTTCTAAGGTACCTATTTTGGGTTACTTCTAAACAATTTCTGTGTTACTGCTCTCATGGATCTTTTCCCCTGTTCCCCTTTTATTGTGTGTCTCACTCTTAGAAATACCAATTCTGACAGAAAATAAACAAGATATTGCCTCATGGGAAGACTTTTCCATATTTCTGATTGGGCAGTTCATTATTAACTTTTGCTCACCCCCTCGGCCATTTTTCTATTTGCCACAAAATCTCCACTTTGAGTCCATGCCCTCCCCCTCTTCTCTCATCCCCAGAAGCTCTGATTCCCTTTCTCCTTAGGCAAGATGAGTAGTCTCTCTAAGAACTTTGTAAATTGTAAAGTCCCCTTCGTCCTTTATAGAATCTCTCTTCTCCCATAGAAGCATTCATCTGTGGCATTTCTGCCACTACTGAAACATGATTTCCCTCTTTCCTACTTTTTCAATTCCTCTCTTTGCTTCCTTATCCATTCTTCTATAGGGTCCCTTCCTGAGAGACTATAAGAGTTATTATCCCTTCATTGTTAACCTTTGTCTTGATTAGGATACATCACATACTCCCTTCTGTTTTCTTTTTCCCTTCTCCCAAACCACAAAACACTGATTCACTTGTAGGTTGGGGATTATAGAGTTTATTCTTCTCCTGCATCCCTTTATTTGTCTTCTGCTTTCACATTTGTCTCTTTGTGCACTTTTAGAGAAAAAATTCTGTTACTGGTTTTTAGGTTGTTACTTTGCTGTTGTCTTGGGTTGCTATATTTGTTTAACTTGTATTTCTGTTGTCTGGGGTACTTAATAAGCAAATAATTTATTTAGGTATTTTTTCCCCTAGGAATGCTTCAGATGCTTTTTTTTATTGAAAGTTCATCTTTTTCATTACTGGTTAGGCCCAGGCCTATAGGGTTTGTCACCTTGGGTTGTATCTTGAACTCCATTGCTTTTCAGAGCATGTTATTCTATTCCCCTTATGCAGTTTTCAGTGAGTACAGAATAATCTTATGTTATTAAATTTTCCTTTCCTTTATATTTGAAAGTCTTTCTTCTGATCTTTTTTTGAACTTTTTTGTTTGCCATTCAAATAGTTAAATTTAACTCTATATGTCTTGGAGTTTACTTTTGCCCCTAAAGTCAGTCTGTGGATTCTTTTGATTGTCACTTTGTTTTCTGTATTTCAAGTTGCCTTAAGGGGTGGGAGGTGGAGCCAAGGTGGCAGAATAAAAGCAGTGACTCCTCTGAACTCTCTCCCAAACTCCTCCAAATACCTGTAAAAAAAGACTCTAAATGAATTCTAGAGCAGCAGAACCCACGAAAAGACAGAGTGAAACAAATTTCCAGCCCAACACAACCTGGATGGTTGATGGGAAAGGTCTGTTGCGCCAGGCTGAGAGAGAAGCGTAGTTCAGGCTGCTCAGCAAAGACCAGGTCAGAGAAAACCCAGAGTAGGCATTGGAGGACTGAATCATGGGTAGCTGTGGTGGTTTCCAGACTTCTCAACCCACAAACCCTAAAGGCACCTTAGAAGGTCAGTGGGAAAGGTCTGTCAGACCTTTGTTAAAGTTGAACTGTTTATATTCCTGCATGAGAAGATGATATTTGTAACTCAGGAGAAGGGATGATATCTAAAAAATAAAATTAAGGGGTAAGAGAGGATTGTACTGGGAGAGGTAGAATGTTGTAAATTATCTCACATAAAAGAGGCAAGAAAAAGCTTTTACAGTGGAGGGAAAGAGGGGGGAGGTGAGAGGGAATGAGTGAATCTTACTCTCATTTAGGTATGAAAATCTATATTACCTTGTAGTAAAATAG